TTTTTCAAAAGTGCCCATTTTCTGTCTTTTGAGCCATGTTACTTCATTCCTAGACATCCCCTTGCAAATCCAATGCAGGATGATATGGAATGGCATGGGATCATAATTATCATGAATTTAGTTTGAGAGTTTTGCGGGGGAAACAGCCACAAAAGACATTTGTACATCCTGGCAGTGGTGTACATTCTCACGGGGGATGACAGTACACATGAGTCACATGATATTTTGGCAGAGGAATGACTCTACCAGCCAAACAGGTTATGAGATGAGGCCCCCTTGAATCCCAGTTACCTTATGCGGTAACGGGCATTTATTGGAGAATTGGAAGCTAAATACAAGTACACCGCCGGTTGAGCTAGGAGTGCCTGGGATATGATTAGGCGCGTTTCCAAGGCATATCGCCCAGATTACATGGTGAGCACATTTCAGCCGCCCCTTCTTTCACTCGCACCACCACCATCCCCCCGTGGGAACTTTTTCTCTCCTCCCCCTCCCCCACTAAATTATTAGCGATCGTCACCATCCTTTCAGGATCGCATCCCCATTCCTCTTCCTTCAACTTCTTGGGGTCCTTTGGGAGTCAGGTCAGCTCATCGACGTTGATCGCCTATCTATTGGATCAACCATGACCTCGGCATGGGCGGTCCACCTTTGCACTGGGTGTCGTTCTTCAAACATTCCCATCAACTCACCACTTCTCACCTAGAACTGGTACCACTCCTATACACCACCACCATGCGCAGTCATGGACCTCTGCTTAGCGCAGAAGTGGTCTTAACCACTGCGGAACCCGGTACGGCTTTGGGCCTTGCCTTAGGAAGACTCTTGTCGCAACAGCGTCGGGGCCTAACCCCAAGTTCACCTTTTCCAAGGCCATGTCGGCTGCCGATTGGTACCAAATGGTATAAAGAGTGCCCGATTGCGAGAGTTAGGTGAGGGCTGGGTGGAATTGGAGGGGGGAGTCGATGAAGACAAGGCACGGTGTCATTCCTTTTCACTTAGATTTCTGCTCTATTGGCTGAACTGCTACTGCTACTGCTACTGCACTGAGGATGGTGTAACAACCTGATGGGACAGCATCGAATGCTACCGACAGGTGGGAGGGGCCCTGCCCTGCTGTCATGCGATCGCTAGCTCGTTTTCGCTTAGTACGTACCACCACCCCTGGGCACAGGGGTAAAGCCGGGAGGTGTACTGCCGCCCAAGCATTTGTATAGACTTTGTTGTCACTACGTGTTCGTAGATGTAGGTCAAAGTGGGACAGCTCGTAGAGTACTAGTAGGGTATGACCCCGCGGATGGTTCCGATCTCCAAATGGCGGGCCTAAAGTCCGCGTAATAACATTGGTTTAGTCAAAAAAGAAGCACATTTCAGCGGGGTTTGTCGGCTGAAGAGTGGGAGGTAAAAAAGAAGATTCCCATCACTTGTAGAACAATAGATCCACAGTGATTCGAACGCCGGCGTCGTTGCTGTGAACACGGTTACTTACCCATTGCACCATCGCGCTGTTGAGGTATAGCTGCTGCATGGCTTTATATCTAGCTACTTGTGGACTTAGCAAAATTTCGCTACCTTTGTTCACTCATTGTTTGGGCTTTGATGTATTGGTACCTTTCATTTGCCCTTTTGCATTAAAACACTAAAATGTTATACTTGCTTCATCATGGGATGTTCACTGAAGCCCTCCATTAACACACTACTATGGTTTGAAAAGCTGACATTAGAAAGAAGCGAAGACAACGAAATTTTACTAAGTCCACAAGTAGCTAGATATAAAGCCATGCAGCAGCTATACCTCAACAGCGCGATGGTGCAATGGGTAAGTAACCGTGTTCACAGCAACGACGCCGGCGTTCGAATCACTGTGGATCTATTGTTCTACAAGTGATGGGAATCTTCTTTTTTATCTCCCACTCTTCAGCCGACAAACCCCGCTGAAATGTGCTCACCATATAATTCGGTGATATATCGTACACACATGCGCCTAATCATGTCTCTGGTAGGTTCTAGCAATGTTGCCAAGACACGACTTTGAAATTATGTTTGTAGCACATTTCATTCGACCCCCGGTGTACAGGAGTTACAAAGGTAAATACTCTCCAGTATTTTAGTAGTACGAACCCAAGAATGACTACTGGCAATCCATATGTTCTATTCGCTTCTTTCTCTCCTCTAATCCCTGCGCCCTTCCTTTCGTCACCTGGACATGGATTGCAGTACTCCCTGGTGTCCTGAATATCCAGTAGTTTTTGTCACCGATATTCGTTTCGCGCTCGCCACCTTCCTCTACTTGATATTAACTGCCCCATTACTCCAATTTCCTATCTCAATCGCGGCTGCGGCACAGTCGTAGTGTATACATGTATCTCGAGATGTTCTCATCGTAATTTATTGACCCCCTATGGTAACATACATTCAAATATACTATCCCTATTACCCGCAACGTTCCTGGGGCGTAATCGGGGAGTGTTGTTGTCTCGACAAAATTCAAGTGGCAAACTGCTTTAAGTAGTGATAGACGTCGACCCTGGCCCCGGCCTTGCCTTCCTTACCCGCGACAGGTACTGATGTTAATCCAGGTATGGTAAACACACTTTGGCGCATACCTTATCTTTTGCCCTGACGTTGCATCATCGAAATGTTAGGTGTCAATCGTTTCCACCTGAAACAGTTAGCTCACTGCTTACCATCCGTCGTAAGATACTAGAAAGCCGGCCTCTAGCGTAGGCTACCGGACCACACCGGAATGTACAAATCAGGTAGACCACATAAAAAGTATGCCAGAATAGCTGTCAGTAAAGTACCGTACGAGTGAGACAAATGGTAGCTGAAATGTACTGCGGTATACTGTGATCTACTGAAAAAGACATGCCGTGCTCCGCTACGGCACCGCTGAATGTTAGCGTTGATGAGCGAGGACATGAACAATTAGAATACGTGTGAAGTTTTGTCTGCTACATAGCTTGAAGACAGAGGACAGTAATCTATCCAAACCCTAACATTGTTACCGCTGCCAAATAGGAGCAAATATAAGCCGGGGGAAAACAATGAAGATCCGGGTAGCACGTCCCATCAGACTGCTCAAGTGATCATCTTCCTAGTGCACCGACGACCTCCTACTAAACCTGGCATACGCTGATTCTCTTATATTTCTATATGAGCTGGACTATATCTTTATCCTCG